CCCCCCCCATAGCCCATTCGGAGCTCTTTTTTGTGAACTGGTTCCAGCAAGGCACACCAAGGCACACACATCCCTCTTCTCCTATAAATAGGAGAGGTAGTGAGGTAGAGAATGTGTGGTGGGAAAATAAGTGGGGAAATTTCTCTTGAGTGAGTAGAGAGAAATAAGGAGAGATGGGAAGAGAAAACTTGTAATAGTTTGGTATTCTTCTCATAGTGAAAACCCCCTCCCGTGGACGTAGGCAAGTTTGCCGAACCATGTAAATCTGTTGTCTTGTTTTTTACTGTGTGTTGCCATAGCTTGTAGGCCCTCGACATTTCAGTCTTAGAACTGATGAGAGGAAGAGTGTATATTTAATTTTGATGAAATATATCACTTTCGATTCTTGTTTCCTTTGAGAAATAAGAATTTCACTATCTATTCTAGTTTCCTTTGAGAAACAAGAATATAGAGATTGATTTGTGCTTTTGTGACAACAAAAACCAGGGCTATCTCTCAGGTGATATCGCTTCCGCGACGTGAGGGCGTGACTCTGCGCCCAACAATTGGTATCAGATCTCTTATTCAGATTGGCGATGGTTGAGCTACTGATCTGAGGTGGTGGTTGATTATTGTGTGTTGTACACAAGGTATTTGTTAAAATTTCTGAGAAAAGCGGATTTACTGATACAAGCAGAGAATGGCTTCTACAAGTAAAACAGAAGTTAGAAAGTACGAGATTAAAAAATTCAATAGGAAAAATGATTTTTCCTATTAGAGGATGCAGATAAAAAATTCGTTGATTTCGCAAAAGTTGCACAAAGCTTTGGCGGGAAAACAGAAGAAGCACAAGGACATGTCTGATAAGGATTGGGAAGAGCTAGATTTGGAAGCACGAGCGTCGATTATCCTATGTCTTGAAAGAGATGTAGCTTCCTTGGTAGACGGGGAGGAAACGGCTGCGGGCGTGTGGTTAAAGTTAGAGAGCACTTTCATGATGAAGAGTCTAAAAAACTGGATCTATTTAAAATCCAAATTGTATACTTACAAGATGGAGGAAGGCTCGTCAATCTGGGAGTACATCAACAAGTTCGATAGGATCTTATCGGATTTGAAAGACATTGAGGTGATAGTAGAAGACGAGAATAAGGTACTTCTACTACTTCTATCTCTGCCGAAGTCTTATGAGAATCTGGTTCAAACACTGATGCTTGTGGATGACAGTTTATCGATGAATGAGACTAGAACAGCACTTCTAGCGGATGATCTTCAAAAAATTATAACTAGTGATATGACCACTGGTGGTAACAAAGAACAAGCGTAGGGGTTCTTTACCAGAGGATGGGGCAATGAGCGAGGAAAATGCAAGGGAGGAAAGTCTAGATCAAAATCAAGGCCTCTTGCAGAAAAACCGTGTTTCAAATGCGGTGAGCTAGGGCATTTCAAAGTCAATTGTCCTAACAAGAGAGTAGGTGGGAAGAAGAACAACAACAAGACTAAAAGACGAGAAGGCAAGAAAGAGGCGACCTACGCTTTAGGGGAAGGGAGCGATAAGGAATGCTATGTCGTCACGGGTGGCGAGGATACCTCCGGGAAGTGGATACTTGATTCTGATTGCTCTTACCACATGTGTCCAAATAGGAAGTGGTTCACTACCTACAGGAGCATTGATGGTGGAACCGTATTGATGGGGAACAACCATGCTTGTAAAACAATGGGGCTCAGTGATATAAAAATCAAGATGCATGATAGAGTGATCAAAACCCTAACGGACGTACGGCACGTTCCCGACTTGCGAAAGAATCTTATCTCAGTGGGTGCATTAGACTCCGGTGGCTGTAAGATTGTTACCGAGAACAGAGTAAAGAAGGTTGTTCGAGGTTCCCTAACAGTGATGAAGGGTGTTCGTCACGGTAATCTATATACTCTCTCAGGTACAACAGTGATAGGAGATGCAACAGTTGGAACTGATGGAAGTGGTGGAGACCCATGTGAGCACACACGATTATGGCATAGGCGGTTTGGGCACATGTCAGAGAAGGGTCTGGATCTGTTTGGTAAGGAAGGTTTGCTGAAGAATCTGAAGAAGCCTTGCATGGATTTTTGCGAGGACTGTGTGTATGAAAAGGCGCACATGGTTCAATTTCTGAGAAGCAATCACAAGAGCAGAGGGATTCTAGATTATGTGCACACGGATGTTTGGGGTCCGGCTTCGACAACTTCTAAGGGTAGTTCCAGATATTTTGTCTCATTCATAGATGATCATTCGAAATATGCTTGGATTTATTTTCTGAAGCATAAGAATAAGGTATTTGAGACATTCAAGAAGTGGAAGGCGATGGTTGAGAACAGGACAAGAAAGAAATTGAATACATTGAGATCTGACAACGGTACAGAGTATACAGATGGTGCCTTCAAGGAGTTCTGTGATCAGGAGGGAATTGCCAGACACTAGATAGTTAGATCTACACCATAGCAAAATAGGGTCGCGGAAAGGCTGAACCGAACACTGTGGGAGAAAGCAGTGAGTATGCGATCTTATACTGGTTTGGGCAAAGAATGGTGGGCAGAGTCGATTGCTACAACTTGCTATATAGTAAATCGATCTCCACATTCGACATTGGATGGTAATACACCCTATCGGGTATGGTCAGGGGAGCATGCAGATTATGAGAGGCTCTGAATCTTCAGGTGTACCGCCTACTATCACGTCAACGAGGGAAAGCTTGACGTGAGGGCCAAGAAGGTAATTTTTTTGGGGTATGCAAAGGGTGTAAAAGGCTACCGCCTTTGGTATACAGGAGATTCAAAGTTCGTGATCAGCAGGGACATTACCTTTGATGAGAAGTCCATGATTGCTAAGGTGCCCAAGGATGATGGTGTTGAAACTGTTGGGAATTCTAAGTCTCAGGTTATTGATATAGAACCTAAAGACCAACCAGGTTCTAGTCGTGTTTTAGGCGACGGATTTCCGGCCTTTAGCGACGGATTTGTCCGTCGCTAAAAGTCCTGTTTCCAGTAGTGGTTCTAGTCATGTTCGAGTGGGAAATCAGGTAGATGATGAGCTTGAGCAGGAGGAGGTTCAGCATGAGAATATACAGGCACTACAACAACAGCAGCTCGAGGATAGCTTGGCTTCCACTAGGTCAAAGCGAGCATACAAGCAGGTACAGAAGCTGGGGGCTGATCAACCCCTGAAGCACTATGAGCAGGTTAATTTGGTTGAGTACGCACTCTCGGTGGAGGAAGATGAGTTGGTCTCCTTCAAGGAAGCTATTGAGGATAAAGATAGCGAGAGTTGGTTGGCTACGATGGAGGAATAGATGGAATCTCTCCGGAAGAACCAAACATGGGAGGTGGTCTCATTGCCCATAGGAAAGAAAGCTATAGTGTGTAAGTGGCTGTATAAAAGAAAGGAAGATCCTTCAGAGCTCGGTGGTACGAGGTACAAGACGAGGCTAGTGGCTAAGGGGTTTGCACAAAGAGAGAGTGTGGATTACAATGAGATAATTTCTTCAATGGTGAAACACACCTCTATTCGGGTGCTATTGAGTATTGTTGCTCATGGTGATCTTAAACTGGAACAACTCGATGCCAAGACGGCCTTCTTGCATGGAGACTTGGATGAAAATCTATATGCATCAACCTGAGGGCTACAAGGTTGAGGATAAGGAGCATCATGTATGTTGCTTGGGAAAGTCACTCTATGGACTGAAGCAATCTCCTTGGCAGTGGTACAAGCGATTTGACTCCTTCATGCTGAAGCATGAGTTTTCCCGAAGCGACTATGATTGTTGTGTTTACATTCTAAAGCTTCGTGGAGGTCATTATATCTATCTTCTTTTGTATGTGGATGACATGCTTATTGCTTCTAAGAGCAAGGTGGAGATAGATAGGCTAAAATCTCAACTTGGTAAAGAGTTCGAGATGAAGGACATGGGCGCTGCTAGGAAAATACTAGGTATGGAGATTAGAAGAGAGCGGGCGAATCGATGATTGTACTTGAGTCAGAAAGGCTACATAGAGCGGGTGATCACGAGGTTCGAAATGCAAAGGCTTAGCCGGTGGTGACTCCATTGGCTCCACATTTTAGGCTCTCTAGTAAACAATCTCCCACTACAGCGGAAGATAAGACACACATGGAGCGTGTTCCTTATGCTAGTGCAGTTGGCAGTTTGATGTACGC